AATAATAGTAAATAAATACTAGAAAGAATAAGAAATATAAACAGGAAATGATAGTTCGCTTGCTATTACATAATTGCACATAGCATCTCAGTACAGCATTTCATTCCAACGCTCCAACAAGGCTGACTTCCATCTCAAATCACTGTTCCTTAAACTAGTCAATATACTGTTGTTGGACGACCATGCACGCTCTCTAAATTTATATACAATAATAACAGAAGACACAGAATAAGTGTGTAATTTATTTAATAAAAATAACACCGAGCTCCCCATCCCTATTTATCGAAGGCAGAATATTGAGAGAGGAAGGTGAGGTGAACAAAATCAAATACTTTAACTTGTCCAGTCACAGAATATGGTCTTACACTCCATTTATTATCTCCAGTGTAGATGGGGACGCCAGTTTACGGCACAATCAAGTACTGCAAACGGTCTGGCATTTAGTTGACAACAAAATTATATGGAGTGTTTTTGGATTCTTTAACAATAGGTTTGATTTTTAAACATCAAATCTGACTGGTAAAGGTCTACAAAAGTGTAAACAAATATTTTTGTGAATATTCCAGAGCAGGAAAGACTCCCATCGCGAAGTATCTGGTTTTTATATCAAATATTTATAAATGTTTTGGAATTTTAAAATGACAGTTGAAAACAATATACAGTTCCTTAGCAGATCCATGACAGGAAATCAGCCAATGAACAGAGAAAAGCTGCAATGACTCATGGGTAATTGGTGATAAATACTAAATGTTTTTTTTATAGCCAATGAAAGCATCTTCTTTCCTGTCTTTATTCATGTCTTGATTGAGTACACTGTATAAATGAACTACATTTTTATTTTTGTATTTAATTTCAGTAACTGTTTATTTCGAGCTCTTGGTGATCAGCTTGACGGCCATGCCCGTGATCATTTGAAACATCGTCAAGATACTGTGCAGTATATGCTGGATCATAGAGAGGATTTTGAACCATTTGTGGAAGATGATGTTCCTTTTGCAAGACATGGTAAATGTATTATTGCTATAGTGTGTACTTTCACTACTGTGCACTCAACAGTATAAGTTTGCAGTATTTTTAAGATTCCATATTGTTTCATACATGTACGAGTGTTTCTATACATTATCATATGCAAAACATTTTTGAATATATTTCAGTTTTAATATTTTGCTGTTACTGATGGGACATAAGAATATTTTCTCACACCCCCTTGTCCACTTTTAATGGTTTGGTCCTGTGCAGGGCTTGAATTGCATGAAAGCATCAAAGGCAATTGCTTTGATGCCAATGAGTTACCTTAGTGTCCTTTGATATTTCATAATTTATTTCTTTATGCTGAGACCATTTAATAAATGTTGGTCTTGAAAGTGGATGTCCTATAAAATTTGAAGATCAAGCCCTGCTTGTCTAAGGATCAGCATAATTTAAAAAATGAATGATTATAGCTAACTCAATAACCTTTGACTGAAGAATAAATGCAATACTGTAAAATGACTAATTTTCACTGGGTTTAAATTTTGCTGATTTAGCATTTCAGGGATACTCAGTGGGCTTTCAATTCACCGTTTTATCATTTAGATAATGTGTTCTATGCTAAATTTTACATATTCACTGGGTTTTAATTTAGCGCATTTTCCAGTCAGCACAATAAACAAAATTAAAACCCAGTGAATAATTAATCCTTTTACAGTAGTCTGTGGTCAGGTGAATTACAATATTAATTATTATAAAATATTTTCCAGTTGCTATGCTTAAAAAACCAGGAACGTACGCAGGAAATGATGTAATTGTTGCATTTGCCAGACTCCATGAAATTAATGTGATTATACATCAGCTGAATGCCCCATTGTGGCAGGTAAATACATATTCTCTACTATTCCTCTTTGTGCGTTGGCAGCAAAAATGTGGGTGCATGTTTCAAACATAGACATATTGCAATTCCAAATTTTATAGTGCACTGTACACAATGTAGGATATTTTTGTTAGGTTGTTCGTGCATGCAGATACTGCAGGCATATTGGCAGAGTTTATATCAGTCATATATTCATAAATCATCCCAATCATGATGAATATTCCATTTTTTTTTCAGGTAAACGGTGCAACTAAAGCTTCATCTAAAGAACTCCATATATCTTACCATAATGGTGACCATTACTCTAGTGTTAGAAAACTTGGTGATAATTCACAAAATCCTGCAAATATCAGATTACAGGTAAGTTTTGATAACAAGTACATATCCTGGTACTTTGTAGAGGTACATACCATATTTGCTCAATTAGAATCTCATCTCCAATAGAAGCATGTATAAACCACCAATCATATTCGTTGTTTACTGAATACCGGTATTCAAAATAATACTTATTTTGACCATAGAAACACCTCTATATTTCATGTAAGTGCTTGCGCTGCTAATACAGTAGAACAAACACCGTATTCTGCCCAAAATGCAAACAGTTGTCATGAAGTTTAAAAACAATTGAAAATCAATGTATAATATTGAAAATATTGCTGTTATAGAGAACCTTTACTCCCAAAAGTACCAGGATGCATGATATAGAGGTCATGCATAATTACGCATATCCATGACATGTGTAAGCATGTAACTGGCTACTGTTCTCGGTTTATATAAGTTCTGATGTAAATCAAAGACCCCAAACGCAAACATAGTGGAGTCATTGTGATTGTGGGTCGTTTTCCATCCAGTTGAATAAATCAATGAATTAATAACAAGTATTCAGTGACCTACATGTATGTAAGGACTGCTCTGTGCAATACACTAATTGCACAAGAATATTGTTAAATAATAGTTAATAAACAAAGCATGAATAAAACCAGTCAATATACAAATGATTATAGTCACATTATGCACCAGTTGGCCAGTCTTAACCCAACATCTCACATCACCATGGTTTAAGGGGGATCAAGTCAAATGGAAGATTATATGTCATATTTTCATTAATATGAAAAAATTAAAAAAAATTTGCGGTCCAAA